ATATATATATATATATCCATTATCGACAATTCATGAGTATCAACCTGTGCTCTATATTTATCAATAAGTAATATATCATCAATCGATATGATACTATTACTGAATTCAAAAATCTATCAATATCAATGACCGATCTGCGGACTTACGTGTGCGTACGTCATGGCGTTCTTCTTCTCCGCGGGGGAACTTTTCTTACCGATCCACACAAACAGACTGTCTGATGTATCGTATAGAAACACGTCCTGAACAGAAAAAAACACAAAGTTTCGAAAATAATAATAATAATCTTTATTTAACGTCGTGTACAATTGTCAACAACAAAAATAAGCTCTGTAGATCTTTTATTACGACGCCGCTAAGGGAACAAATGGTGTTATCGTGGTGGAGGAAAACCCACGGAGGGAAAACCACCGTACCATCGGAGGGATAACAACTAACCCTATCAGACATCACTCTCTTTTTTCCCACCATCGCTGGGGATCGAACCGAAATTCTTGGGAGAGCGAGTGGTCTGAAGCTCACGCTTGATAGCACACATGCATGTACAGTAGTACAATGACTGTGTGCGTTAGCGATCACGGCTACCGAGGCAAAAATAAGACCAAAATCACGTTTGGATATCAGTCAAGTTCTAGCAACCGCAAGTCACTAGATACTTTTCCTTTGAAAAAGTAACTGGATAATCCATAATTTTATAAAGTTACTAAAAATAAATTGCAACCAATTTTCCTCATATCCTTGTTCCTGTCATTGAGATTAATATTAACTCATGGAAACACTTGAAACAATATATAACTTGAACTTACATTGGTATCAAAATCACCCTTGTTGATACTGCCGGATTTCTCTAGCTTCATGTCCATGCTCCCGGTGGCGTCTGACACTCTACAATACGAGATATCGGGTACTATACAATAACAATAATACCCTGATTTAGATACAGACTGTAAGGTAAGGGCAGATGTCCACATTCAGACGACAGAAGTTCGAGAATATTTACTCCATATCTTCTTTACGACAGTCATTTGTATCAATTGGCCAATACCAGGTATTTCAAATAGTGTTAAATAAGTTAAATATAAATGATTTTTATCAATTATGATTTTTTTTTTTTTTTTNCCGAACCAAGTTCGAGCTCCAGTTTTCATGCGTACTGTAAGTTAGGCGGCCAGGGCTGTGTCGAATTCACCGTGTCTCCTTCCTTCTGCTAGACAGGTGATAGGAACGAGAGGATGCGTTGACTTCATCAGGTACTTCTGTGGAACAAAGGTTTTATATAGCTGCATTATTTACATTTACTCTGCATTATCATCACTCAAACCTATCAAAGTCAGCCGAGAGTTGAAACCAAAAAGACTGCGGCGATGGTGCGACTTCATAGCAATGTTGACGTCGTAAGACTTTTTTAGGTTACATTATTCCTTGTAATTATACACACCCGATACCTTTTTAAATTTCTGTTAAAATCATTTTATTATTATTGTTGGTGGAGACAAGGTCGAATCAATTCATATATATATATCCATTATCGACAATTCATGAGTATCAACCTGTGCTCTATATTTATCAATAAGTAATATATCATCAATCGATATGATACTATTACTGAATTAAAAAATCTATCAATATCAATGACCGATCTGCGGACTTACGTGTGCGTACGTCATGGCGTTCTTCTTCTCCGCGGGGGAACTTTTCTTACCGATCCACACAAACAGACAGTCTGATGTATCGTATAGAAACACGTCCTGAATAGAAAAAATACACAAAGTTACGAAAATAATAATAATATTCTTTATTTAACGTCGTGTACAATTGTCAACAACAAAAATAAGCTCTGTAGATCTTTTATTACGACGCCGCTAAGGGAACAAATGGTGTTTTCGTGGTGGAGGAAAACCCACGGCGGGAAAACACCGTACCATCGGAGGGATAACAACTAATTACCCTATCAGACATTACTCTCTTTCCCCCCCCCACCGCTGGGGACCGAACCGAAATTCTTGGGAGAGCGATTGGTCTGAAGCTCACGCTTGATAGCACACATGTACAGTAGTACAACGACTGTGTGCGTTAGCGATCACGGCTACCGAGGCAAATATAAGACTAAAACCATGTTTCGATATCAGTCAAGTTCTAGCAATCGCAAGTCACTGGATACTTTTCCTTTGATAAAGTAACTGGATAATCCATAATTTTATAAAGTTATTAAAATAAAAAATAAATTGCAACCAATTTTCCTCATATCCTTGTTCCTGTCATTAATATTAACTCATGGAAACACTTGAAACAATATATAACTTGAACTTACATTGGTATCAAAATCACCCTTGTTGATACTGCCGGATTTCTCTAGCTTCATGTCCAAGCTCCCGGTGGCGTCTGACACTCTACAATACGAGATATCGGGTACTATACAATAACAATAATACCCTGATTTAGATACAGACTATAAGGTAAGGGCAGATGTCCACATTCAGACGACTGAAGTTCGAGAATATTTACTCCATATCTTCTTTACGACAGTCATTTGTATCAATTAGCCAATACCAGGTATTTCAAATAGTGTTAAATAAGTTAAATATAAATGATTTTTATCAATTATGTTTTTTTGTTTTGTTTTTGTTTTTACTTCTTCAACAATCACTCTTGTTGTTCTATATGCAAGCGCACAGGAGGTCTTAATGTGGAAGGAAACCGGAGTAACCGGAGAAAACCTACGCGATAAAACTTTCTAGGAATACTCCATTCCTTATTCTTAGCCACTTTTGATAGTCTAGCACTAGGCCACAGGCAGTGCTTCACCAACCAAACAATCTCGGGTAATATCATCAAACGTTACCTGAATAATTTTGTCTCTTCCTTTGCAGATTGTTCAATGGATGACATGGAAAAGTCTTCCTCCTCACCGCCATCCAAACTGCGTGAAAACTCGTCCTGCAGATGAAAAAGCTCAATTCATTTGACGATATAGACAACATTCAAACTGGCTGCAATACCACAATCAGCTCAGTGGCGTTTGTAATACTTCGATGGCTGTTTNCATTGGACAACACTTTCACGATATGCTAGCTTACATATAAAACAAAGAAAATGCCCATGTATTCGAACATGTCAATGTATTCGAATAATATATCATGTGATTCGGGAAATACTATCATTCTTCACATTCGCTTTATTTGTAAATACCTACAATTTAATTTGTTGCTCTGGTTTCAGTTTAACGGGTTAGCGCGTTGGTGAAATTGAATCACAGAGGACATCTTTTGGTAGCGCACTTACATCCACTTCCCCTTCCTCTAGCACTTCTGCCTTAGCTTTTCCGGAACGTTCACTCCTCAACTCCACCAAGTATTGGGCGGCCTATCAACATAAATAAACTATCAGCTGACAAGGATATTTTTTATGCGCAGTCTCATTTCGTATATAAACTGAATATCAACCTATTTGATTGTCCACGCGACAGTTAGGACATGGTTTTGATGAGTCAATATTAAAATTTTGTTTTTGGGGAAAAATTGCAAAAATGCCTTGCATATGTTACGTTACCCCAGTGAATTAAATGGGCAATATTCTGAGAGACAAAAAGCTATCAAATCAGAAAAAATATTTGCAATTTCAACACATTTTTTTTGCAATGTTATAAACATCATTTCGCC